CCGACAACAAATTCCACATCAAAGCCAACGCCACTGTCACGGAAAGCAACGACACGTTCCACTAGCCCCGGTGGTTTTTGGCTTTTTTTCATGGAATCCACATCCATCTTCTCATCGACTGTATCGTACGCAGATCCTGCTCCTTGCATCGATTCTGAGCCAGTTGGCGATGGTGCCACCTGAAAAACAGCAGTCCTTTTCACGTAAAATATTCATAAAATCCAGTACAAAAACACGCATCACCAAAGTTATCTTTGAAGGCCTTCAGCGCGATTGATGGGGAGAAAGTTGTGTGTATTGCTGAAGCAAAAAACTTTCGGATTTCGCTGAAAACCCGCGAAAAGCCGGCCAAGAAACTGCTAGAGACAAAATGATGCATATATTGCCTGTGGAAGGTAATCAAGAAGAGAAAAGTTGCATTTTACATTGAAAGGCAGATACACAGTAGATGTGCACACTGATCCTACAGTACCGAAAGTCATCGTGAGTACGAATGCGAAGGGAAGTGGTTCGATTCTCTCCCGGTCCATAACCATTTTCGAAAAAGGGTTCCGTTCACGACGTTGGATCATACTTTGGCAAAACAGAAAATATAAACCTTTATTTGCACTAATCTGCTCTAAATCCAACGACTTATTCCTAACATTTTTACTGTCTATCATTACTTATTGATATTCTTGCTAGCTTAATTCTACCTATCCCTGCCATTGTCAAGTAATGGAACTCACAGCGGAAGACATTTAATATTGATTATTGTAACGTTATCGGGCTGTTTTTCCTCTTTAAACTGATGTCCGGGCCGGGATCGATTCAAATGAAAATCCGCTAACTCGGGGACCAGAAAAGCTAGGAGACTGAGATTATTCCAGAATGATATTTTCTGCCTATGCAGGAATCTCACAAACTCGAATTTAGCTCCCAGGTGTGCCCAGGTCTCACGTGCCGGCACGTAAAAGTTTTGGCGTGAAAGTCACTAGCTTGGAAGCAGATTCTCTTTAAAAAGAATGATTGATTTTCGTTTTTAAAAAAAGAAAAAAAAACTACTTCTGTGCTTACCGGTCCACCGTCGCCTGCGGCTACTTCGCCATACTGATAACTTCGATTCAGTTCAGC